ATATTAATTTGCTCGCTAGGTACTTATGATGTATATAGATGTATGTAGACATTATATGATATATCTACATAACCTTTGATGTATATATATATACACATACATATATGTATGTAATGTATGTATGTATGTATGTATGTCTGTCTACCTATCTATCTGTCTATCTATCTATCTATCTATCTATCTATCTTTTCCTATCTATCTTTTCCTATATATCTTTTCCTATCTATCTTTTCCTATCTATCTATTCCTATCTATGCCTATCTATGCCTATCTATTCCTATCTATTCCTATCTATTCCTATCTATTCCTATCTATTCCTATCTTTTCCTATCTTTCCCTATCTTTCCCTATCTTTTCCTATCTTTTCCTATCTTTTCCTATCTTTTCCCTGTCTTTTCCTAGCTTTTCCTAGCTTTTCCTATCTTTTCCCTATCTTTTCCTATCTTTTCCCTTTTTTTCCTATCTTTTCCTATCTTTTCCTAGTTTTTCCTTATTTTCCTATCTTTTCCCTATCTTTCCCTATCTTTTCCTATCTTTTCCTATTTTTTTCCTATCTTTCCCTATCTTTTCCTATCTTTTCCACTGTTTTTCCTATCTATTCCTATCTTTTCCTATTTTTTTCCTATCTTTTCCTATCTTTTCCCTGTCTTTTCCTATCTTTTCCTATCTTTTCCTATCTTTTCCCTTTTTTCCCTATCTATTCCTATCTTTTCCTATTTTTTTCCTATCTATTCCTATCTGATCTATTCCTATCTATTCCTATCTATTACTATCTATTCTTATCTATTCCTATCTTTTCCCATCTTTTCCTATCTTTTCCTATCTTTTCCCTAGCTTTTCCTAGCTTTTCCAATCTTTTCCCTATCTTTTCCCTATCTTTTCCTATCTTTTCCCTTTTTTTCCTATCTTTTCCTAGCTTTTCCTATCTTTTCCTATCTTTCCCTATCTTTTCCTATCTTTTCCTAGCTTTTCCTAGCTTTTCCTATCTTTTCCTATCTTTTCCCTATCTTTCCCTATCTTTTCCTTTCTTTTCCTATCTTTTCCCTATCTTTTCCTATCTTTTCCTATCTTTTCCCTTTTTTTCCTATCTTTTCCTATCTTTTCCTATCTATTCCTATCTTTTCCTATTTTTTCCTATCTTTTCCTATCTTTTCGTATCTTTTCCTATCTTTTCCCTATCTTTTCCTATCTTTTCCTATCTTTTCCCTTTTTTTCCTATCTATTCCTATCTTTTCCTATTTTTTTCCTATCTATTCCTATCTATTCCTATTTTTTTCCTATCTTTTCCTATCTTTCCCTATCTATTCCTATCTATTCCTATCTATTCCTATCTATTCCTATCTATTCCTATCTCTTCCTATCTCTTCCTATCTATTCCTATCTATTCCTATCTATTCCTATCTCTTCCTATCTCTTCCTATCTATTCCTATCTATTCCTATCTATTCCTATCTTTTCCTATCTATTCCTATCTATACCCTCCCAGCCCTAAGACAGGGAAGGGGGGGATAAAGCAACCGAGCTAATCCAGCCATCATGACATAACCAGTCAACGCCCAAACGGAAGGGCCTTCAGTAACACAGCTGGATCATGAGATGTACAGTTCAGAGCAGAGACAACCCAGTCTCTTACCGAACTTCCCCCGATTCAGTGTTAAAAAATTGTGACTCGTCTGCTGCTGCGTGTTGAGAGCTGTTCATGAAGTTTGATACATTGAGGAACAGATGTCTTGAGGTTTTTAGGATCAAGTGGTCAGAACAAGAAAGTATGTGTATCATTTTTCCCAAGGAATGTGACTTCTCCACAGCCGGCAGGTCCAGTTTCAGGTTGAGGCACCGAGGCGGAGTCGACCCAAGAGCCTGCGCTCGCTGTCAGGCGGCTGGAGCCCAGGATCATTGGTGCAAGCATGAAGATTTGAGGTATACAGAATGAAGCAATCGGAAACAACACTAGCACCAACAACCACCGGAATCCATAAACATACATTTCTGCAAGGCAACTAAGTTTCTGATGGAGAAGAGTTGCAATGGTGCCAAGGATGGAGAGGATATCATTGACTGTAGATTGATCTACCGGCAATGTGGGATGCCCCCGGGACCCCGATTTAGCTTTGAGTGAAAATAGGATGCCTCCAAGTTCGCTCGTTTATCATTTTTCCATATTTTTCCCCTTCAAACAACAATATATTAAGGGTTAAACCCATAGTTTCAGATAGACATCTCCATTTGTTTGTGGCTTCGCTTCGAATCTGTATGGCCTTGTTGGCCATCCAGTGGTCCAGATAGAGATGGGGAGATGGGTGCGGGGTGGTTTTTTTCGGGGAAGGCATGAATTGTTAATGTAGGACCCCCAGAAATTGCCATTGCAAACTCCGACAAGAAAAAAATATATAGAAGTAAATGATAGATTTTGTATCTTTTTGGGGGGTGACTATACAAGAAATGCAAGAAATGAGGAATTTCTCATTGTTTTGAGCCTCCTCGATCATCGCCAGACAACGTCTCCTTGGTCATCGAGTCTTTGCCGGAGCCTGGCGGCTCAGGGCCGAACCAGCAGCTGCGGATGGCGACACTTCCGGAGGTTTTTAGACTCTAAGAAATTCTTTTCCTATCTTTTCCAGTTTTTTAGACTTCATTCCAGATTTTTTCCGGAAAGAGGTTTCATCAAAAAATTGGAAAAACATCTGGAATGAAGATGAATGAAGTGTTCTTGACCAATTTCGACTTCAGCGCAATCTGTTAAAAGAACGTGGCGGCTGAAACTGAATCCCAGAACCGAGCCTTGGAATCAGGAAACCGAATTTCTTGAATAAACATGGGGTTTATCTAAATCTGATCCCCTAAAGCCGTTGTTTTAGCAGCAGTTTCCCCCCGAAGATGGCAATACATGGGGGGGGGTGCGGCCAATTTTCCGACCGTGGTCGCCTTGAGGCCACCATGCTATTGCCTCTTCCGAATGGCTGGGGCACCGAGCTTTTTCCGAGCGGTGAGCGATGGATGTTGATCTCCCTGGTGATCTCTGGGTCTGACGTTTTGACCCAACAAAACCTCGGGCTTCGACGATGCACGTTAGATCCGTTAGATGTTGCAGAAGTCCCTTTGTGCCAATGGGGTGTCAATGGCATTGCCAGAGGGCAAGCTTCTGGGGGTCAAGGCTAGCAACCCGTTCAAGGCTAGAAACTGAAGTGGCAGCAAAGTTGGGGACTTGCAAAGCCCAGTGGAATGCAGAACCAGACATTTGGACCTTCTCAAACTCCTGTTTGAGGTGGTAATTCCCATTAAATATGATAGATTCCCATTTAGATTCCCGGAAGGGAAATTCAGGATAACCATCATCATTATAACCACTATAAATTAGATATTAACTTTGACATTCGAAAGGTTGGGGATTTCCGGTGTCCAGTTTGGTATGTTCAGTGGGCCACCGCCTCAGGTCATTTCCGTCTATGTCATTCTGACGCTTTCTTTGTCTGTGCAGGACTCAGATGGGAACCAGTGAGAGAGTGAAGTGGGTTGTTCCGAGTGGTTCCATGATTTTCCTATGACTATGATTTACCATCATTCTTAATTCTTCCCATTCAAATTGCAATTCTGGGGTGGACAAACATGTCAAATTCAGGTGTTTGCTGTGGGTTAAGTTTGCAGGGAGGTCTAGTAACCCAGAAAACAGTCGGCATGATACTTGCAGAGGGTCCAAACACCCACAAGTTTGGTCATGAGTAGTACTATACTAAAGCATACTAAAGCTATCTAAAGCTGCCATTCTATACATTTTTGTGGGTCAGGCACCAACATATGCCATGATGGGGCCCAGTCCACAAAGGGCAGTGATTTGTAGAGGTTGCATCCATTCCGTTGTAGTGGTGCCATATGTATGATTCACAAGGAAGGATGAGTAGAATGACTAGCATATAACTACATCGAGAAATCTATTTTCTAGCTACCAGATGAGTAGATTCACTACTTGGGGCTGCAGTTCCAGTTATGAGTGGATAGGTTTCACCATTGTCAGTTCGAGGGCCCCCATCTCCCGGGAGTTAGAAACCCATTGTAGCCATCGCCCAGGTCTGGTGCGTTGTTCAGTCCGTTCGTCGTGGGGATGCCAAACAATGCATGGGTAAAAAGGTGACGTCTTAACCGGAAACCTATGGGTTTTTATGTTTTTATCACCACTGAGGAGGGCTTTCCTCCAGATTTTCCCATCAAGTTTGTTCAGAAGGTGAATTTTTTCATTTTCCCAATGGGAGAGCATTTGGGGAATGTCTTTTGGGAATATTTTCGGTCTTTTGGGAGCCAATCTTTGATCTCACTTGGTAGGGAGGTGGAGATGATTCTCCGCCGTTCCTGGTGCCATTTCCAGATGCGAGATTTGTGAACTGCGAGGTTTCTGCCTGGATCAGCTCCTCAGCCGGGTCTGAAAACCTGCTTCCAACTCCCTTTTTTTATCACCATGTTAAGGAGAAAATGAGGTCTGTAACGGTTGGATTTTGGGGGGTTCCCCAAAATTTTCAGAGAGACAGTGTGATAAATTGGGGGTTAGACTCGAGTTTTCAGACAATCCCAACTGGAGTTCATCAATGCCGGATGGACGAACATTTCGCTGCCTTTTGGGCTCACAGGCGATTTGAGCCGGCTGCTAAGTCCAATAGGGAAGATGTTTCGATAGGCTGACCAAACATTCAAGACAATGGACACCTTGATCACCTTGCACAGCCAGGTGTGGGAACCCCCAAAGCTCTATGATTTCACAGCAGAATGCTGCAGCCTTTCGGTGTATCTTGGGGATGTCCCAGGGTCAGAGATCCATTGCAGAACGATTTTAACCCGTGAGACCTTTGTTGGTTATCTCCCAATTGGTATCAGCATTAATCTCATGATCTCATGGAATTCCACACTAATTAATTATAAACATTGGTGATTTATGCTCGCGCCAAATACAAAAAACACGAGCTTTTCATCCATTGAACCCTTCCAAGAATCATTGCCGAACTGCCGCCATGTGGCACTGTGTAGATCTGCGGTGAGCCATTGCCCATAGGTGCGGTGGGGTCGATGATTGCTGGAAATCACTGCCATATACTTGTAGATACACAAGTTGGATAGTTCAATATATTAGTATGTATATATATATATATATGTATATATATATATGTATGTATATACATATATGTATATATATACATACACATACACATAAGATTATATATATATCCCACTTGCTACTTACGAACCATTCATGTATACATCTCTCTCTCTCTCTATACGAATCACAGTTCCCAGTTGGTGTTCCAGACCTCATCCAGGTGCCAGGAGGGTTTCCCCTTGTGGCAATTGAAGCTGGTAAACACATCCCCCATCTGCCAGGGGATTGACAGAAATTGGGCATTTGGAAATAGTATGCCCAATGATTTCGAAATCATTCCCCAATAGTATGGTTTATTTTCCCCAATTGTATGCCCATCTTTATTTTCCAGATCCCTTTTAGTATGGTTTATTCCTTCCTCCAACGGCCCTAGTCAAAAATACACAAACAAAACCCGGGTGGAATGGCTTGGATCCTGGTGCCAAACATAGGGGATATGATTGGTATCAGGGCATGGAATGAATCTAATATCTCAATATATTTTTTATTCCCTAATCTATTGCTATACATTATATATATATGTATATGTTTTTTTTTTTCCCAGTCCCTTTTCAACCACCCCTGCAATGGGATTAACAGTTTTTTTTGAAGCACATGAATAATCCTACAAAAACACATGTTGGTTTAAATCATACTTCCATGATTACTAGATTACTCATAATCCCATTATTATTGATATTCACCCATGAATCATCCCATTAATCATGCCACGATCCATAATCATTTCTCATGGTCAATCATTTATTTACTACTATTACCCTAATTCCATGACTTTAGTGATTATTAACCATGAATCATTTATTTACTACTATTACTACTATTACTACTATTACTACTATTTACTACTATTATCCATGAAACAATGTGATAATTTCATGAATCATCCCATCAATGATCCCATAAAAATTGTCCCAAAGGTTCCAAGATTGCTCTAATTCCATTCCATTATTTTACCATGGAAAAATCATCTCACTAATCCCATTAATCATTCTATCCACTTTACTATTACTGTTACCATAATTCTAAGATTACATAAATTCAACATCTAGATCATTACTATCAGATCCATAGATTATGGTATCTTTAGATTACTGTTACCATAATCCTGCTTATAAACCACCTTTTTACCTTTTTCATCATCCCTTGTACTCCAGGCAGATATGGTGATCTCCACCGGCGTGGAAGGCTTGCCCACAGCCCTGCCGGCGGCCCTGCCGGCGGCCCTGCCCACGGCCCTGCCGGGGCTTCCCGGGCTGCCGGAAGTTCCAGGTGGGGCCCGAAAAGTTGGAGATTTTGTGGGTCAGAGATGTTAGTTTTTTTTTCATTTTTTTATCTTAATATTCTGAATATGTTCACTTGTTCCACTCTGGGTTTTCAAGATACACTTGATACACTTTTATCGTAAATATGACCCAGAAGGTAGCGGAACATGTCCCAGAACAGCCAGGCCTGGAGACGTCCACGAGTCTTTCATCGTTCAACACGACCGAGCCATTGGAACAGATCACAGTGGTGACATGTTCCAATTTGGGCATCGCCTACAATCGCATGACCAAATCACAGGCAGAGTCGAAAATTGGGGCAGTCCTTGGTAGGTGGAAGGGGAAGGACTGCAGGGCTGAAGGAGGCTTTGTTTTACGGGGAGGATGATGATGATGATGATGATGATGATGATAATGATGAGGATGATGATGATGATGGTGATGATGATGATGATGATGGTGATGATGATGATGATGATAAGGATGAGGATGATGATGATGATGATGATGAGGATGATGATGATGATGATGAGGATGAGGATGAGGATGATGATGGTGATGATGATGATGATGGTGATGAGGATTATGAGGATGATGATGATGATGATGATGATGATGATGAGGATGAGGATGAGCACAACTACCAGGTCCTGGATGGTTTGCTTGACCCGCTATTGTTTGACTGCCAGGCAGGCGGTTTTCTGACGTCGATGGTCGGGCTCTGAGCAGTGCACCAGTGGGTGGACTGACTGTGTTGGTAGATGAGTCAAAAGTCAAACCCCATTTACCATAGTTGGGGGCATGAACATACATGTACTTCACCAGGGTACCACAGGTTTGATCCATAGCCAAATGACTCATTGGCGAAATTCATGGTATAAATCCAAATTTTCATCGTCAATCCAAGGTTTTTCCTTCTCTGTTTGCTATTCCCCAGTGACATACCCATTTCATGGTTGCTTAAGTCCCATCTTGTTGGTTGTATAAATAAATACTGTACATGAATGAATGAATGAATGAATGAATGAATAAATAAATAGATATATAAATAAATAAATACATAAATATATAAATATATATATATATACATACATACACATACAGTACATACATACATAATCCAATATTCTGTTATATACCCATAAATCAAGTTGTTTACAACATCCCACTCTTATCCCCACGATTCACCCCATTCTGCCCTCTGGTTGCGTAGCGATTTGCAAGATCACAATCTATTACCCACGTAAGTGGCGATTCATCATGTTTATCATCTATAAATTGTCCATTTTCCAGTTCGCAAGCTCTTCGTTTTCTGGAGGTTTTGTTTTTTTTCCCCATCATTATACATTGATCATCATAATGCCATCATATATGATCCCATTATTATCATATATGATCCCATCATGATTCCAACAGATTGCTGCTACTTCCAACCATTCTTTGGTCAAAATCGCCCAGGCCATGAATGTTCTGTCCCTTCTAGGGGCGCTGCTGGGGATCTACCTCATCTCTCGCACCAAGCGGGGTCATCGCGTGCCTGGGATCTGAAGGTGAAGATCTAGTGATTCGTGGGAAAAAACAACATGCAAATTTTGGAGGATCTTTTGATGATTTTTGGATGATTTGGATTGTTTTTTTTTGAGATATTAAGACGATAGCAACCCCTAAAATTATGACGCAAAATGCTTCATTTGATTGGAAACCAGCAAATAATTAAAAAACAAAAAACAAACAAAACCAAAACAATAAAAAAACGATGAAACACAATAAACAAAACGAAAAACAAACCAACAATAATCAGCGCACGGTTTGCAACTCAGAGAGACTTTGTGCTTCTACCTAATCGCCACAGCTTGTTGATACCACTTGCTCTCAAAGTCCACAGTCTGCTGCGTTGCCTGCTGCCAAGCTGCGACCCAAACTCCCAAAATCCAAAAAGGGCTGCCTAGTCAAAGCTTCAAACAGTGCGCCCACTACCCTTGATGCAGGGCAAAATCAGTCTAGGGGGCGCACTGTTTGAAGCTTTGACTAGGCAGCCCTTTTTGGATTTTGGGAGTTTGGGTCGCAGCTTGGCAGCAGGCAACGCAGCAGACTGTGGACTTTGAGAGCAAGTGGTATCAACAAGCTGCGGCCATTAGGTAGAAGCACAAAGTCTCTCTGAGTTTCAAACCGTGCGCTGATTATTGTTTTTGTTTTTTTGGTTTTTGTTTGTTTTTTGTTTGTTTTTTTGGTTTGTTTTTTTTTTGGGGTTGTTTTTTGGTTTGTTTTTGTTTGTTTCTTTTTCATAATTTTAATTATTTTCGATTTTCCAATGAATGAAGGTCTCTCGACGTCATAACCCTAAAAGGATAGAACATATCATTATTTTTGTAGGATTTTGCTTTCCTGTCTTCTTGGGGGTTGCTATATATATATACTATTTGGGATTTCGGACACACATTATGGATATGAGGATGAGTCAAGATCTACATTAACATTCACGAGCTATTTTGGGGTTCACAAGGGTACCAGGGTTTTGACCCGTAGCCATATGATATTTGGACTATTGGACATATATATATATATGTATGTATGTATGTAATGTAATGTATGTAATGTAATGTAATGTAATGTAATGTAATGTAATGTAATGTAATGTAATGTAATGTAATGTATGTATGTATGTATGTATGTTATGTATGTTATGTATGTTATGTATGTTATGTATGTTATGTATGTTATGTATGTTATGTATGTAATGTAATGTAATGTAATTTAATGTAATGTAATGTAATGTAATGTATGTATGTAATGTAATGTAATGTAATTTAATGTAATGTAATGTAATGTATGTATGTAATGTATGTATGTAATGTATGTATGTAATGTATGTATGTAATGTATGTAATGTATGTATGTAATGTAATGTAATGTAATGTAATGTAATGTAATGTAATGTAATGTAATGTAATGTATGTATGTATGTATGTATGTCCGTAGCCATTTTGGCTCAAGCCCTTGGCTCAAGCAACCTTCCAGTGGTGGGGCCGTTTCGACTGATAGCTTGAGTAGTGTCTGGTTTGGTCCGTGCACCGGTGTTTTTCTCTTTGTGTCCTGTCCCCCTTCTTTCAGGTCATTGGTTCGTGTGCTTGCAGGTGATTTGTACTCTTGTTCGCTGGTTGCCCTTCCTCTTCTGCCTCTTCTCCAGCTGTCGGGGGTGTTGGTCCTTCTCCATGGACAGTGTTTGGATCGAAAGGCTGACAGACGAACGACCAAAGCTCTGTTTTTTGACGGAGTATAGCCGAGCCCTGAGGCTTCTCAGTGGAATCAGTAGTCTTGGGTGTATCCGTGCCAGACAACAGGCCCTTAGGAATAGCCTTGACTCTCGGTTCAGGAATCATGTTCTGTCGGAACCACGGGTACGTGAATTCCTGTATTTCCTTGGTGAGTTTTCCGCTAAGGAACTCCCGATGGTGTTTGAGGTTATCAGACAGCATCTCTTTCCGGATGCTCCCACTAGGTGTCTTTTCCGCGCTGCGAGTTTGGACCCCCATGCTCACCCTGTGGAGTCCTTGAGGGCTTGTGTTACTGATCTCAGGGAGTTGGAACTGTCCCTTGGTGCGCTTCCTGCTGGTGGCTGGCCTCCGACCCCTGTTCAGGTGGACAAGCATGTGGATGTTGAATCCCTCTTGGCGGTTTCATTGGCTCTTCCGCGGCCCATTTGTCCCCTGCTCCCAAGTTCACTTGCCGGTGTTTTTGGTCCCGCTTCTTTCAGTGCCCCTCTGTGCGACCCTGAGGTCGAGAGGTCGTCAGCTCTGAGGCCCGAAAAGCTGACGGTGTATGTCACTTTTAGAGGTGAATATGTGGTCACAAAGATGGCAGAACTGAGAGAGAAATCCACAGGAGCCGAACTCCTCGAGGCTACTTGGCCTTTTGTGAAAACGTTGGCAAAGGATTCGGGTGATCCTTTCCACTACGGCGCGCTGTATCTGCCAGGTAAGAGACTGCGCATGTGGTTACAGGACCCCTTGACTGATTATTTGAACAGTACTGAGGCTGTCCTGGAAGTTGCTTTCTCCAACATTGTGCATACCAATTCTGCTGCATTCCATGTTGATTTAGGTGCCGTGCCTATGTCGACGTGGAATCAGGTTGGTGATGACCCGCAGGTCCCTTCACAGTTCAGGCATGTCAGGCCCAAGACACCTGATCGTAAGAGGAAATCCGAATCAAAAGCTCGGACAAAAGGTGTGAAACCCAAAAGGGTTCGAAAATCCAAATGGGATGAACCGACAGGTACTGCCAGCTCGTCGAAGGCCCCTGCTGGCCCCAAACTCGCGCTGGCATTCAGTCCCCCCCCAGGTCTCAACAAGATTCCTACTCAACTGATTCGTTTGTTGAATTCTGTTCAGAGCCAATTCCCCGCGACTCTTGGCACTTTGAATTTTGTTGTGCTTAACGGCGAAGAGGACCCGATGTTTTTTGGCAATGTTACTGATTTTGGCACTGTGCTGTCCACGTTCAGTCGCGACTCCAAGCTTTCTCTGTTGAGTTATGGCACTCACTGGTCCTTGGCTCTTGATGATATTGAAATTGGCGATAGGGCCGCCAGTGTCTTTCTGAAGGTGCTGCGGGCATCTTCCGGACAAGACGAAACACATAAAAAGATGCCCAAGGAGGCAGATCGGGATGACAATGATAAAAGTGGTGACAAGGAGCGGAACCGCAGTCAGGCAGAACAGTCCACCCCAGCCCCAAAACGTGGTAGGCCAGTTTTTCAGCCTGGATCAGGTTCTGGGTCTGTCCAAAGGGGTTCGGACCCTCCGTGCGATTCCCTTTCAGGTGTTCAAGCTGTGAACAATTCGGGTTCTTGTCAGGAGCCACAGGTCGAGCGTGTTGATCAAGTTGTCGACACCTTGAACGTATCCCATCGGCCCCTTTTTTCGAGTTCAGGTATCCACATTAATGGGCAGCGCCCTCAAACAACGAGTTCAGGTGTCCCTTATGGTAGTGCTTGTGACTCATGTACGGCCTCCCATGGAGTTGGTGTTGTTCCCACTGACACCCATCGAGACAAGGCCCTGTGTGCGGTTCAGGAGGTTTCCCAGGTTTGTACCTCCTTGGCACCCCGTGCGTTGTGCTCTGGTGAGGGCGGGTATCTTGACCCTTTGTCGTTGTCTCTCCGTTCGGACTCAGGGTGTCGTACCTCCGAAAACTCGGAGCGCGTTTTGACGCCATGGCTGCGCGGTGCCCCTCTTGCGGCTGCTCGCGACATTGCCTCCGATGGCTCTGCATTTGGAAACGACAAAGGAGTCTTTGTGTGCCAAAAAACAGTTCAGGAAGGGCAGATTCAGTCTTGGAAGAACTGTCTCGATATTCGAGTTCAACACGAGGACATCGTTCATGGCTCGAATTCCAATGACAATTCTGGTTTCGCCGTTCGTGAAGGCGCAAGCTGCAACATCGACTACCATTGCGACCGCATGCAGGTTGAAGTCCCACATGATGCGGGAGTCAGGGAAATCGGAGGATGCGTTGCAACTGCTCCGGACACCCAGACCACGGTTGAAGTGCCCTTGGCTCAGGTGACACCATCCGATCCTGGTGACATTACTGCAAGTATCCAGGTCACTCAGATCGACGAAGGCTCGGCTTTGGACATCTCCCCAACATGCGTCTGGACGCAACCGTGTGTTGAAGAGGAACCTGACGATGGACCGCCGTATAGATTGCCAAGGACCATCCTACTTCCTGGACAAGATGAACTGAGAGTCCCGGCATTTTTTAGTGCGTTACGAGATTCCCAATTTGCGGATCTGGGAAGTGACGCAGGTATCACTCTGGTGTACAGGAGCTATGAGGCTCGGTTTCAATTGCACATGCAGGCACCTGCACACCAGTTTGTGACGGCGCGAGCGTATATGGTGCAGGGAGACTGTTGCCCCTCTTGTTTCCTTTTTGGTCGAGGTTGGACTTGCACACGTTGTTCCTCCCCAATGAGTCAATTCAGGCTCCCTCCACCCCCTGAAATCACTTTTGGTTACTGTGTTGATGAGTGTTTCCATAGGTACCTCTCACATTCCTTGCAGGCACTTCAATTTACAGGTCCAACGACAATTCACTTCAGGGTTATCGCCACGCATGACTCAGGCGTCATCGAAGCTGTCACTACGGAAGGCAGGCGCATTTGGGTGATACTGCATTCGTGGTATGACACAGTGGTTTCCCTTCGAGTTGGTGATGATCTTTCTTTGTTCCAGGGATTTTGTTGTGGTTCGGTGACAGGTGTTCCTGTTTTTCATGTCCCACCCCCTTCATCCACGAAAGCCATCTCGGAATTGAGGACCGAATATGTCACTGGGTACAATGAATTGAAGGAGATTTTGAGTAACTCCCCCAAGTCCCGGCGTGTCGCCGAGGCTGTTCCATAGGTCTCGCTTCAGTTCGCGACAACCAACCCCACCCAGCTGTTGGGCAAGGGGGATATGGTGCGTGAGTGGGAGTGCCAGGTTGTTGCGTTCAGTGAAACTTCCCACACAAGAAGGGCACTGCCT